CCTACTATGTGCCAGCTGGAGATACAGCAGTGAGAAGTCAGCAACAAACAACAGGTAAAAGTAAATGGTATTTTATACCAAAAGTAAAGCAGGGAAAGGGGACATAGAGCCCCGTGGTTGGGGGAGGGCACAGTTTTAAACAGGGGGACCATAAGCAAAGATCTGGCGAAGGGGCAGGAGTGAGCCCCTGAGGGCATTCCAAGCAGTGGAAGAAACGCCAAGTGCAAAGGCTGTGGGTAGCAGTGCGCCTGGTGTGCTCTAGGCCAGTGTGGCTGGAGGGAGGTAAGGAACGAGGACAGTGAGAGGAAATGGGACAGACAGAGAGGTCATGGAAATAGAGGCTGGGTGCAACTGGGAGTGGACAGCCCAGGGCCGGAAGCTGCCTGACTCCAGGCTGTAGCCCCCGCAGCCTCCGCTCAAGCATAGCTTCCAGAACATGGTTCCAGAACCAACTGACCAGGTCCCAGGCCCTTCACCTGCTTTGTCAACAAGATCGTGTGAGTTAGGTTCAATCATTACCCTGCTGTAAAGTTGGGGAGACTGAGGCTTAGAGACATTTGGCAACCTGCCCCGGGCCATGTGACAGAGCTGGAACTCAACCCCAAGTCTCACGCCAAAATTGTTGCTTTTGTTGTTATCATCTTAGCTGTTTTTAAGTGCACCAGTCAGTAGTGTTAAGTATATTCACACTGCTGTGCAGCAGATCTGCAGAGCTCTTTTGCCTTACAAAATGGAAACTCTGGCCAGGCGCAGTGGCTCACACCTGTAATCCTGGCACTTTGGGAGGCCAAGGAGGGCGGATCATGAGGTCAGGAGTTCGAGACCAGCCTGACCAACATGGAAAAACCCTGTCTCTACTAAAAATACAAAATTAGCCGGGTGTGGTGGTGCATGCCTGTAATCCCAGCTACTTGGGAGGCTGAGGCAGGAGAATTACTTGAACCTGGGAGGCGGAGGTCGAAGTCCAGCCTGGGCAACAAGAATGAGACTGCCTCAAAAACAAAAACAACAGAAACACTGTACCCTTTAAACCACAGCACCCCATCCACCACTCAGCCCTTGGCAAACACCATTTCTGTTCTGTTTCTATGAATTCGACAACTTTAGATACCTCCTAGAGTGGAATCATGCAGCGGTTGTCTTTTTGTGACTGGCTTATTTTACTTAGCCTCATGTCCTCAAGGTTCGTCCATGTTGTGGCATGTGTCAGAATGTCCTTCCTTTTTAAGACTGAATAATGTCTCATTGTCTGTTTACACCACATTTTGTTTATCTGTTCATCCATCAATGGACACCTGGGTTGCTTCTGCCTCTTGACTTTTTTGAGTAATGCTACTAGGAACATGGGTGTGCAAATATCCCTTCAAGGCTGGATGTGGTGGCTCATGTCTGTAATCCAAGCACTTTGGAAGGCCAAGGCGACTGGATCACTTGAGGTCAGAGGTTCAAGACCAGCCTGGCCAACATGACAAAGCCCCGTCTCTACTAAAAATACAAAAATTAGCCAGGCGTGGTTGTGTATGCCTGTAATCTCAGCTACTTGGGAGGCTGAGGCAGGAGAATTGCTTGAACCCAGGAGGTGGAGGTTGCAGTGAGCCAAGATTGCACCACTGCACTCCAGCCTGGGTGACAGAGTGAGTCTCAAAAAAAAGGGGGGGGGGTTGGGCACAGTGGTTCACGCCTGTAATCCCAGCACTTTGGGAAGCTGAGGTGAGCAGATCATCAGGTCAGGAGTTCGAGACCAGCCTGGCCAACATGGTGAAACCTCGTCTCTACTAAAAATACAAAAATTAGCTTGGCATAGTAGCGGGTGCCTGTAATCCCAGCTACTTGGGAGGCTGAGGCAGGAGAATCACTTGAAAATGGAAGGCGAAGGTTGCAGTGAGCCGGAATCACGCCACTGCACTCCAGCCTGGAAGAAAGAGTGAAACTTCATCTCAAAAAAAAAAAAAAAAGAAAAAGAAAGACTCTGCCTTGAGTTCTTTCAAATACCCAGAAGTGGGATTTCTGATCTGATAGTAATTCTATTTTTAATCTTGTGAGGAATTGCCATACTGTTTTCTATAGCAGCTGCACCATTTTACATGTCCCCAACAGGGCACAAGTGTCCCAATTTCCCCACATCCTCAGTAACACTGGCTCTTTTCTGTCTTTTTGAGAGCAGCCATCCTAATGGCTGTGAGGTGCTATCTCCTTGTGGTTTTGATCTACATTTCCCTGGTGATTCGTGATGTGGGGCATCTTTTCATATGCTTGCTGGCCACTTGTGTGTCTTCTTTGGAGAAACGTCTATTCAGGCTCTTTGTTCATTTTTAAATCAGGTTGTTTACTTTTTTGCTATTGAGTTGTAGGAGTGCCTTATATATTCTGGATATTAACCTCTTATCAGGTATAAGATTTGCTAATATTCTCTCCCATTCTGCAGGTGGCCTTTTCACTCTGTGGGTTGTGTTCCTGCATGCACAGTTTACATTTTGATGTAATCCTATTTTTCTATTTCTGCTTTTGTGTTACCTGTGCTTTTGGTGTCATAAGAAATCATTGCCAAACCCAGTCCTCTATGCTGTCAATAATTCTGCCTGTGGGTGGGTGGGAGGAAAGGGCCGGATACTATTGCAACAGTTGGGGGAATGAGGAAGTGTTTAGCCAGGAGCATGGAAGCACCTAGCTGGTGGGAGGGCAGTGATTATGGTGTTCCAGTTACTGAGGGGCTTTCATGGGGCAGAGTGATGACCCAGAAGGCAGAAATGGGATCAGTGGGAGGCCCAGAGAGGCAAATAGCAGCTTAATCTAGCAAGATTCCAGAAGTGGAAGAGGATACCTTGGAGGTAGTGAGCTCCCTGTTGCTAGAGTAGTGCGAGACCACAGTTGATCACTCAGAATATCTCACAGGGGCTTCAGACAGGATAAGTTTGGGTTGATGGCTTCGGATCCCTTCTGTGATTCCATATGGAAGAAGGGAGCTCAAAGGTTCAGCCCGCAGGGTGCGGTGGGCAGGATTGCAGCTTACAGGTATCCCCTCCTCTGCGCCTGGGGAAGTCTAGTGCTTTGGATCCCAGCTGTGAGGAGATTCCCTTAAGTTGCCATCACCTGGAGCCTGAACCCAAGTCCTGGCCCAGCCCATCCATGGGTCTGAGACCTGCTGGAAGAGAAGAAGAGAGACTAGGATGTGCCTCCATTGCCTGCCAGCTGCTGCTTGCAGGCAGAACGGAAGGAACAAACTTCACAGACTGGTGGATCCTGGTTCAGGTGTTGCCTCAGCCATTGGCTGAGTGGCTTTGAGCAATTCCTTTTAATGTCTCTGATCCTAATTTTCTTCATCTGGAAGCAAGGGGTTGTCACCTCTCTTGTGGGGTTTACTGCAGAATAACAATAACTGGGGCTTAGGGCCTGGCAGGTGCTCAGTTAACCGCACTGATCAGAATTAACCCCCCATAATTTCCTTTTACCACCCTTGGAAGCCAAGGACCTGAGCCAGCTGCACCCCCAACATATCCCATCCTGTGACTTCTTCCCATGGCCTGGCCCCTGCCAGCCTCCTGCTGGGTGGACCGCAGCCTCTCATCTCCTACGGAGGGCTGGGAGTCCAGACTCTGGATCCAGCACCCAAGAAAGCCACAGTAGCACCCAAGCCAGCTCAGGGGCCCTCCCCGGGTCTGGTGGGTGGGGTTGAGTGGCAGCCTGACACTGACATCCTGTCTGTCTATCCTCTGCCTCTTCCTGTCCCTGTAGCTGCTGACCCTGGTGCTTCCTCACTCCTGGCTTCGCAGTCCCTCCCAGCCCTGCACCTTGTGCCCCCCCCTCACTTCCTTGTGCATTGCACCCAGAGATTCCCCCACGACCACCAGCCCAGCCCAGCCCATTGTGGAGAAAAATCAAATTTCATTAAAGGCCATTGATTTTCTTCTAAATTTGCTGCGAGTACACTTGGAGGCTCCTCCGTAATCTTGCCTGCTCCCACCTTCAGCTGCCCAACTACCCCTGCAGCTTCGCCGGGGAAACAGGGGTGTCAGGGCTGGCAGGTGGTATGGAGGGAAAGGGGCCCCCAGCCAACTTTGGCCTTTCAGTGCGGCAAGACCCTGGATATGTCACTGATTTCTGGGGAGTGAGTTTTCCCTGTCTGTCCCCATCTTTTTACAGGGCGTGGGCTGTGTGTCAGTGTGTGTTTTGTGTGTATCTCTGTGTCTCTGGGTGTCTGTGGTGTGTCTGTGCATCTGTGTCTATTCATCTCTGCATCTGTGTGTATGCATTTGTTTGTGTGACTGCAGGGGTGTGGGGGCTGGGCTTGCAACTCTGGATGCTCTGCTGCCCATGAGACAGCCAGCCTGAGGAGGGGGCTTGACTTGAGATAAACCCAAGATATGATTCTCCCCTGCCAGGAGCCAGCGGCTGAGCTGGAATCTGAAAAGGGCACAGGCTTCCCTGCGGCCTCCTGCCCCCTCCTGCCCACCACTGTCCCTATAGAAATGGGATGCCTTGCTGGTTTTCTCTCAAAGTTAGATTTGGGGTTTTGGGGGCTGGTGGAAGAGATTTCAGACTGTGCAGTGGCTCATGCCTGTAATCCCAGCACTTTGGGAGGCTGAGGCAGGTGGATCACCTGAGTTCAGGAGTTTGAGACCTGTCTGGGCAACATGGTGAAACCCCGTATCTACTAAAAATGCAAAAATTAGCCAGGCATGGTGGCGGGATCTGTAATCCCAGCTACTCAGGAGGCTGAGACAGGAGAATCACATGAACCCAGGAGGCGGAGGTTGCGGCGAGCTGAGATGGAGCCACTGTACCTCAGCTTGGGCAACAGAGCAAGACTCTGTCTTTATCTTTTATTTTACTTTATTTTTATAAAGACAGGGTTTCACCATATTGGTCAGGCTGGTCTCAAACTCCTGACCTCAGGTGATCCACCCATCTTGGCCTCTCAAAGTGCTGGGATTACAGGCGTGAGCCACTGCACCCGGCCGACTCTATCTTAAAAAAAAAAAATAAAGGGCCCCAGGTGGGGGAGGTGTAGAGTTGGATGGACATATACTGACCTGGTGAGCCTGGAGAGAGTGGGCTAAGAGAGAGGGCTGGGCAGTGGCGGTGCCAGGCACAGGGTACGGCATGAGGGCATTCGTGTCTGCCTGGGTCATGTTCCTGGGGTAATGTCAAACATCAAGTCAGCCTTGACAGGGACAAAAAAAGTCACAGAAGGGGCCCTTTGGCCTTTGTTGGGTGTGGAGGCTTGTGTTCTGGTTGTAGGCCGAACCTCTTTCCTCTAGCCCATTCGCTAGGCCCAGAGGTCGGCGGCGATCCTGAGCTGGCCTTCAAAGCCCTGTGACACTGCCCCACACCACAGGGTGGGCATCTGATGGGGCCTCTGCAGATACAGGGCACAGGATATGTTCCCAGGTGTGTGTTCTCGATGAAATATCACTGCTGCCTCTCGCCCCAGCACTGCACAGGCGTGTCATGTGAATTCATGGCTGTGCATGTGTGTTCTCCCTGCAGCCTCTGCCGGCGAGCTGGAAGCAGCCCTTTGGATTCCAGGGACAGGCCAGATTTATGACACTGGGAGAAATATTTAGGTCTGAGACAGTGTGGTTGTGTTAATTATGGAAATCTAAAGATAATCTATATTTAATGCTGAATTTTGTCAAATTTGCTAAAGAATTAGGGGAGCGTGTGCAAACAGTGACACTTCAATGAAGAACAAGGTGCAATTAAACTCTGAAATTTACAGTGGAATAATTGGAGAGCATGACAAATATAGTTATCAGCAGCAACTAATTAGGGGTCTGCTCGAGGTTTCTGGGCTTGATTAATCTCGCCTGGATGCTAATAAGTTATATGGGGCAGCTGGTAACCGGTTTGTCTCCTCCTTCCTTCTACCCTCTCTCCACAGCACTTGAGGGGTGAGGATGTGACCCATTCAGTTCATTCCTCTGTGCACCCGCCCTGAAGGGAAGGGTGGGGGCACTCCAGCTCCTATGCTGGGACCCTGCCCAGGTAACACCTTGCACCACCCCTGCTCCAGCATCCTGAGGACTCACTGGTCGGTAAGTTCTTGGTGTCTCACTTGAGGCTTGTTGGGACTTGGGGAGAGTGGCTTGGAGCCTGTGTCGGGGTCTTGCTGAGCCTTAGTGGGCTGGATTCGTTCCCTTGCTATTGATGTGGCTGTCCGACTGCCACCTCTGCTTCCACTTCATGCCCTGTGGGAAGGGGCACTGGAAGCCCCCCGCTTGGACCCGCAATAGATCCCATGCACCGTCTTCCTCGGCTGGGCGCTTGCCTCCCTTTCCCCTCGCAGGTTTCTGCTATCTACCTCACTGCTGACTGTGGCCAAGCCTTGGATCCACTGATTAAAGTTTAGGCTGGAGCTGATGCTATTACCCTGCTGGAGTGTGGCCAGCACCCTGGGCACCACCGCCAAGCCCAGCTGTGAAACTAGCACCGCCGCCTCCCTTCCTCTGTCTCTCACCCTGTCTCTGATTCTGTGTTCGGTCTCTCCCCTGTCCTAGAGCCTCCCTCAGACCTGCTGCCCTTGTCACCCTTCAGGGACCCACCCAGTAAGACCAGCTGGTGGGGGACTCTACCTTCTGCCACCCACTCCTTCCTCAGAAGTCCCCTTGACTGTCAGCTTCCCCACTTGGGGTCCCCCAAGGCAGCTCTGTGCATCGAGCCCATCCTGAGCACCCCTTGCCATCTCCGGCCTTTGCTTAATGTCATTGGGCACAGGACAGAGACTCTGACAGCCTCAGAAGAGGCTGATGGATCCAAAATGGGACATTAGATGAACTGCTTCTTTGTGAACGTCTTTGATACAACTGGGTCTCTCAAAGCATGAGCATCTGTGAGCACGCCTGTCATAGGAGGCTGGGCCCTGCTGTGGCTGGTGGAGGGGACACTGGAGAGGACGGGGGCCTCCAGTGCCTCCTTCAGAGAGGAGGTGTGTGGCTTCTTTGAGGCCTGCTTCTCTTCTTGTTTTGGGATGAGGAGCTTTGGGATCAGACACACCCAGACTTGTGTCCTGGCCCTGGGGGTCCTGGGCTCTTCCTAACCATGTCAAGTCTTATTTTCCTTCTTGTAGCAGAGGGATAATTTCTTTACAGTGAGGAGCGCAGGTAACCGGCTGGGAGCTGAGCAGGCCCTGAGTACCTGGCGCCCTCCCCTCCCCTCCCCTCCCCTCCCCCTTCCAGCTCCCCACCCCTCCAGGCTTCAGGTGGACTTGCACACTGTTTTAATCAATGCTAGGGTGCTGACATGAAGGAGGCTGGGGTGGGAACCAAGGCCCAGAGTTTCACTTCACCCCAAATCTGCTAGAGTCAGGGAATCCATCCAGCTTGAGATCTGGTGTGTAAAGGTAAGAAAAGGGCTTTGTAAAGTCTCCAGCAAGGCCCGAAGTGCTGCTCTTGTTAATGAGGAACAATGTGCTGGGAAGAGTGGGCTGCAGTAGCCTCCTGGCCTCTGCTCTCTCTCCACACAATATGCCTAAAATGTAAATCCTAGCATGGCCTGCCCGTGCTCAGAAACCTTCAATGACTCCCTAGTGCCTCCGGGATAAAGTACAGAGCATAATGGTCAACGCCATCCACAGTTGCTCCAGTCTGGTTCCCACTTCTTTGGGATCCTTCCTCCCATCCTCCCCTCCCTCTCCTTCTTCTCTTTCTTCTTCTCCTTCCTGTTCTTTCTTCCTCTGTCCAGGTTGGAGTGAAATGGTGAGATCTTGGCTCACTGCAACCTCCGCCTCCTGGGTTCAAGTGATTCTCCTGCCTCAGCTTTCCAAGTAGCTGGGATTCCAGGAGCCCACTACCATGCCCAGCTAATTTTTGTATTTTTAGTAGAGATGAAGGTTTGCCATGTTGGCCAGGCTGGTCTTGGACTCCTGACCTCAAACAATCTGCCTGCCTTGGCCTGCCAGAGTGGTGGGATTAAGGCATGAGCCACCGCATCTAGCCCCTTTTGGGCTTTTTGAAGTCCCTTTGCTCTGCCCACCCAAATGATGCCCTGTTCCCCAAACTCCCACACCTGACAATCTGTAGGCTTTTATTGGATCGATTTACATCACCTGACGTGCTTTCCCTCCCACTCCCTTCCCACGACCACTTTCTGGGAGGCCCAGCTCAAGTCTCATCACCCCCTAAAGCCTCCTCTGATGCTCCCATGCCCACCCCCACTCCTCAACCTGAATGCCCTCTGGTTGCACAGCTGTTCCTTGCGTCTGTGTCAGGTGCGTCCACCAGGGTGTGATAGACACTGCGGGCACAAGCTCTGTCACCCAGCCTGAAGTTCAGTGGCATGATCTCGGCTCACTGCAACCTCTGCCTGCCGGCTTCAAGTGATTCTCCTGCTTCAGCCTCCCAAGTAGCTGAGATTACAGGCGCTCACCACCATACCTGGCTCATTTTTGTATTTTTATTTGACGGGGTTTCACCATGTTGACCAGGCTGGTCTCAAACTCCTGACTTCAAGTGATCCACCCAGCTCAGCCTCCCAAAGTGCTGGGATTACAGGCATGAGCCACTGCACCCAACAGAGTTGGCTCATTTTACAGATGGAGAAACCTTGATGATGGCCATGTCTGTCAGAGACTGGAAAGTCATGGTGCAGATGCTCTGGACAGACTGTGGCTCAGAGCAAATTTGCTGCGGGTGACATGGCCTGCAAGGGTGGCACTTGAACCCAGGCCTCTCTGGCTGCGGGCTGCTGTGTTTCCCTCCATATCCGTTTTTCTGATTATTCAAGATGCAGGTTTCATTCCTCTTTGTTGTCATCACAGCCCCTGACTCTGAGGTAACTCTCAATGGTGCCCCAGGCCTCTGCCCCCAGCCCCTAAATCCCCACGTGCTGTGCATCTATGAACAGGTCCCTCCAAGCCTCAGCTTTCTGTGAAATGGTCAGGTGATGCATTGCCTCTTCCTCACAGCGTCATTGTGGGACAGAGGGAGATGGTGCCCGCAGGGACCACTGTGCTGCAGGATGGACCCCCTGCGAGCCTGGGCTGGGCATTTCCCTAGAGGCTCTCGGTCTGTCTCTTGGGGGCTGGGACGGGGAATGCAAACACTCGTTGGTCTCCTTCAGCCCCTCTTTGGGGGAGGAAAAGAGCTCTGGGGTCTCCTTCCTCAGGATCCTAGCCCTTGCAGCTGCTGGAAGGGAACGGGCTTGGTCGCCATGGCAACGAGGGCCAGCCGCCTGCAGGGCCGGTCCTGTGCCAGCCGCCGTTGACCTCACTTAGGATGATTACCTTTCGGCAAATAAAATAATTGTGTTAATAAAGAGGCCGTTCGCCTCTCATTCCCCGTCCGGCTTTGCCTGTTTCCGGTCTTCTCCTTCTGGAGGAAAGAGGATTCTCCCCACCTGGTTAGCCCTGGCCTGTGGGATGCCTCACTCTTGAATTGTTGCCCAAATCCAGACTGGGATTTAATCTTGGCCAATATTAATCGTGTCCCACCATTCCCATCTTACCACCTTCCGCCTCTTTGCCCCGGTATCTCTTCTGAGGTTGTACAATTGAGATACTACTACTCATCCTGTCTTCTTTGGCCTTTTTGTTTTGTTTTGTTTTTGAGACCAGGTCTGTCTCCGTCACCCCAGCTGGAGTGCAGTGGTGTGATCTCGGCTCACTGCAACCTCCATTCAAGTGATTCTCCTGCCTCAGCCTCCTGAGTAGCTGGGATTACAGGTACCCCCTAGCAAGCCTGGCTAATTTTTGTATTTTTAGTAGAGGCAAGGTTTCGCCATGTTGGCCAGGCTGGTCTTGAACTCCTGACCTCAAGTGATCTGCCCACCTCAGCAATACCATTTTACCGAGAGAGAAAATGTCTATGTATCTATTTTGAGTCTGGGTCCCCCTATGTTGCTCAAGCTGCTCTCGAACTCCTGGCCTCAAGCAGTCCTCTGGCCTTGGCCTCTCAAAGTGCTAGGATGACAGGCATGAGCCACTACACCTGGCCAAAATCTATGTTTTGACAGGGCTAGAAACGTGTTGATTCAGCCCCTGGTTTGCGGAACAGGCTCCCCTAATAGAGCGCCTGGGAGCATTCAGTTCAGCTGCAGGCAGATACACACTTGCCAGGGGCTCAAAACTGGGCTGGGCTTCCAGAGGGGCGAAGAAACAGAGACCCTAGGAGGCTCAGAGCCAGGGATCGGGTGGGTGGGAGTAGATGGATATAACCACAGAAAATGGAGATGCGGGATGCAGTGCGAGGTGCAGTGTGGCCGGGCTCCGAGACCAAGAGAATGATGGAGACCCCGTGCCAGGTGCTGCGGAAGCTGACCCCCAGAAAGAGACTGACTCAGCGACGGAGGCCCTGAGGGGGATGAGGAGGATGAGACTGGCAGTTACTGAGCCTCTGGTAAGCAGCTGACACTTTGCTGAGTGCTTCAAATTTGTTATTTCACACGATGGCTATCACAACCCCATTTTACAGATGGGGAAAGTAAGGCTTAGAGATTTTAAGTGAATTTCGACCAGGTGTGGTGGCTCACGCCTATAATCCCAGCACTTTGGGAGGCTGAGGTGGGTGGATCACCTGAGGTCAGGAGTTTGAGACCAGCCTGGCCAACATGGTGAAAATACAAAAAATACAAAAAATCAGTGGTGGTGGATGCCTGTAATCCCAGCTACTTGGGAGGCTGAGGCAGGAGAATCGCTTGAACCTGAGAGATGGAGGTTGCAGTGAGCCGAGATTGTGCCACTGCACTCCAGCCTGGGCAACTTGAGTGAAACTTCGTCTGGAAATTTTAAGTGAATTTCTCGAGGTTATACAAGTCAAGTAGAGAGCCAGGATTCAAACCCAGATCTGCCTGGTCTTAGTGGTCTTTTGACTCCATCAGGCTGATCAAGGATGGGGAGGGAGAGGGAGGAGCAGGAAGAGGGGGAGAGAAGGGGAGGGGGAGGAGAGCACGAAACAGATTGAGCAAGGCATGGCGTGCAGGCTTCGTGCACAGGTGTGGCCTCTTCTGCGTCTGGCAATACTTAGCCACTGTTCTTTGAGGCTCTTGTTTAAAGATTTGCCAAAAAGAGGTCACCCAAACTATGGCCGATTTAGAAAGTTTA